AAGATCTGCTACAAATTATCTCTTTTAAGTGTTACAACGCAAAACATGCCATTTTGAAGACTAAGGTTCACCTGTCCGAACACATGGTATTTTCAGTAGCTTCATGTGTATGTGAAAGCTGGCGAATGGATAGGAAGACTTTAAGAAGAATTGATGCCTTTAAATTATGGTGTTGGAGAAGAATATTAAATACACAATGGACTCTCGGGAGAATGAACAAGTCTACAGCCAGAATGCTCCTTAGAAGCAAGGATGGCGAGACTGTCACGTGTACTTTCGACGCAGAATCAGGAGGAACCAGTCCCTGGGGAGGGGTATCGTGCTTAGTGAAGGAGAGGGTCAGCACAAGGCCCTGCGGATGGTGAGGGTGATGCAGGACTGCTTGGGTGCTCTGAGTCCAAACCCAGCCTGCTGGCAACAACCACCTATGGAAACATGTCCAGCCCTGGTCACAGTATTAGAAAATAGTTAAGTTACAATGAAATGCTTAGGTACACATACATAATTTGCTGGTTCACACGACTTTCTTTCTTATCTGAACAACTACTGATCATTATTAAAAGAACCGTTGCTTCAAGATATTGAAACAAGTGTAATCTTTGGGCATTTAATTTACACCACAAATATTTATGGCGTGCCTATCATGTGCCTGACATTCCACATGGCCTCAGTAATGACCAAGACAGCTACACTTTCTCTTCTGAAAGGACTTACCTTCTAGTAGCATGTTACTGAAAATCATAGTGATTTGAATAGCAGTGGTTATCTCAACACTTGTAGAATAGTTAGTAAAATAAAATCTCCCGTGTTTGTCTTGAAGGTCAGATCCACATCCACGTGGAGACAAGAAATTTTCGACCCTGCCTTGTCCCTAGGCTAGGCTAACCTAACGGGCCTGGGGAAAATGCTGTATCCAGGCCCTCATTTTAAACCAGTTAAGTCAGAACTTTGGGTAGTAGGACCCACACATACAAAGATGTGTAAGGAGGAAGTTGATACTGCCAAGCTGAATCTGATGACACTAAACCAAAAGGTAGTTCTTTTATCCCAAAAGCCCTAAAACCTGCCTGTATCTCCAGGCAGATACATGTGGTGTTGATTTGTCAGTTATTGATTTGTTTGATCTTGGTAGAGAAGAAACAATATGTAATTTACAAAGAGTGCGATCATATCAATACTCTTTTAGCTTTGCTTTTTAGAAAAATATGAAAGGCAGATAATGAGTTGGATTGAAGCTCTTCTGTTGCTCTACCCTATGTAAGTGTGCCACTTCTACCAATATATGTTTTCGTTATCAGAGGAATTTTAGTGGGTCAGAGCTTCAAGAAAAGCATCCTATCTTTATCTGCTTTAAAATGTTAATGTTCGGTGTATGTGAAACACTGATTAAGGTTGAAAACGCTGAGCCACTGGGGTCTTTCTTACAGGTCAAACTGTAGTGACAGTGAACAAATTCTCACCGGTGTCAAAGGCACTGAAAATATCTTTAAATAAATTCTTCTAAGAAAGATTCCATTCATACTTAATTTTTAGACCCAGAAACTTTGAAAGTTAACATTCATTTTTTCTCTTTCTAGCTTCTGCAAAATATAGTTGGGATTGTTTTGCTTCTGTCTGCTTCCGAAGAGGACGAGACATTAAGAAACTACTTTTAGATGCTCATTTCACTAGGAATCTTCCTTCATAGTCAAGTAGAAACGTTCGGATTCCAAGTACATGCATTTTAGAAAGTGTTTGATTCCTTCTGATTATCTACAAGAGATGTAATATATTGAGCTTTGAAACCAAGCATTTTTATAAGATACTAAATCAGATTCCAGAATACACAATACATTTTAGTTATGTGTTAATTGAAAGTATAATTTAAAAATAATTTTATTGGGGGCTCGTACAACTCATCACAATCCATACATACACCCATGTGTCAAGCACATTTGTACATTTGTTGCCCTCATCATTCTCAAACCATTTGCCCTTGGTATCAGCTCCTCATTTTCCCCCTCCCTCCATGCCTCCCCTTCCTCATGAGCCCTTGATAATTTATAAATTATTATTATTTTGTCATGT